AGTCCCAAATGCTGTCAACTGCGACGCCCATAGCTAAACAGATCTTCTCTCTGCCTCTCTGTTTTCATAGGGGGGAAATATTGGAGAATGAAAAAAATTAAAAAAGGGACGGTGATTGCAGTTAGGATGTAAACAAATCAAATATTTTAAATTCGATTCGCGATTTGTATTCGAATATGATGATTTGAATTCGCGTTATTCAAATACAAATTCAAATTCAAATATTATTTTTGATTTGAATATTAATCAAATACAAATACAAATAGGGATATATTCGATTCGGATGATATTCGAATATTCGAATATATGTATATATACACAGACCATGTTTTCAACATCGAAAGTCAAGCAAAGTAATATAGTATAAAATGTATTTAAAATACTAAGAATTCAATAAATTAACGTCACACGAAAATCTAAAGCATATGATTTTTAATAGTTATATTTTATAAAATATAATTTGTATAAGATGCAAATGTATTAATGTTTTTATATACGGAATATAGTATAGTATAAAGAGTATCGTAAGTTAAATTACAAATTGATGTTGGTCCATCATATAAATTACATAGTATGATTATTCAAATATTCGTTTATGATTCGATAACTATTCGAATATTAATCAAATACTTGTTCAAATCTTATTTTGAATTCGTCTCATATTCGGATTCGGATTCGTATTTGAAAAAATTAAACAAATACAAATTCAAATATATCGGTATTCGCTTCGATTCGGTTCGTTTACACCCCTAAATTTGCAGCTACGAAGAAATTTAAAGGAGATGTTTAGAATTTAGAAACATCAGCTTCGTAATCATATTTCCGAAACAAAAATCTTCTTGCTATGTTGGTACAATTGTCTGAGTTAAACTCCCCGTAACAAATTAATAAATCATTCCTGGTAGTGTATGTCAGGTGTTTTTTTCCTGGCAGTGCAACCCGGAGTTGCCTACTCCGTTTCCTCTTGCTTTATTTTTTTAGACGGAGTAGCCTAATCCGTTTAGGCCTAATTATTTAATGACACGGAGTAGCTAACTATGTTTGGGCGGAATAAAACCAAGACGGAGTAGCCAACTTCATTTGGCCTGACTTAGGCCGTGTTTGGAAAACAGCATTTGGGATAGCTTTTGACATCTTTGACTGACTTTGGCTTTTTTGACCAAACGAACCGCCAAAACCATTGTTTGGCTAATGGCTTTTTCACTTGGCATTTTGATCCGAAAAGCCAAAATCTGAAATGCCAAGGTGAGTAGCATTTGGACTTGGCGGTTAGGAAAAATATTTTTTTTAAAATCATTTTTGTTGAAAGATATTTTATAATATATGTAAAAAATAAAAATAAAAGTTAAAAAAATTAAATACGAAAAATTAAAATGAAATTAAAAAAAATTATATTTATAATTCATTAAAAAATTTATATTTATAATTTATTATGAATTAAATGAAATTAAAATTTAATATTCCATATAGTAAAGATTTAATTTTTACATATAAAAAAATGAAAAATAAATATCATGTATATATAATTTTTTTAATTTTAAAAAAATATATTTATGATATGATATTTAAAAAAATTGTAAAATAAAATATACCATAAATGGAGGGATGTCCTTTTATGTAATTTTATTTACAAACAGCTAACTATAAACAGCTAAAGTTGCCAAACACTTAAAATTTAACTGCTAACAGAAACAGCCGGTCAAAACAGCTAACTCAATCAGCCATTCAAATCAGCTAACATAAACAGCCAAC